ACATCCTTTCCCACTTATCACTCTCAGATCTCTGATGTGGGTCTCTTATGTTGCTGTATGTAGTTTGGTAGATACCTTAAACTTGCATCTGTTGGTTTAATTAGGTGCATTGTGTTACTCACTTTTTATCTCTCTCCACTAAAGCATCATGTATTGGCCACTATTAGAGTCAGGATTCTGGTCTGATCTTATCCGAAACCATGAGGGGGGATGGTCAGGCCTAGTGGTGAGAGTCATGGCAGTTGGGCCTAGGGGCATGTCTACACTACAAAATTAGGTCGAATTTATAGAAGTTGATTTTTTTAGGAAGTGATTTTTATACAGTTGAGTGTGTGTCTGTCCCCACTAAGCGCATTAAGTCAGCAGAGTGTGTTCACAGTACCGTGGCTAGCGTCAACTTCCGGAGCGTTGCACTGTGGGTAGCTATCCCACAGTTCCTGCAGTCTCCGCTGCCCATTGGAATTCTGGGTTGAGCTCGCAATGCTTGATGGAGCAAAAACGTTGTCGCGGGTGGTTTTGGGTACATGTCATCAGTCGCCCCTCCCTCCATGAAAACAACGGCAGTCAATCGTTTCGCGCCTTTTTTCCATGTGGACACCATATTGCTTTCAGCAGACGGTGCAGTAGGACTGCTAACCGTCATCATCGAACGACCGCTTCCACTGCCACTCTGTTCTCCTGCTCTGGCCGCAGACGGAGCAATAGGTTGGAAAAACTGGCATTCCAACCACTGCTTCCGCTGCAACTCTGCTCTCATGAATCCACCTCCCAGGTCCTCTCGTCGTTCTCTATAAATATTTGTTCTCGTGGCATCTCTCTATAAATATCTATTCCATCATCCACCGCTTCCGCTGCAACTCTGCTCTCCTGCAGACGCCACACCGCATACCATCTCCTGCAGACGCTCAGATCACCGTGGCAGTTATCACCCTTGTAAACACCTCCTGCATTATCCTGCAGTATATGCAGAACCAGAACTTGCAAAAGCAGGCAAGGAGGCGATGGCATCGCGGTGATGAGAGTGATGAGGACATGGACACAGACTTCTCTCAATCACAGGCCCTGGCAATGTGGACATCATGGTGGTAATGGGACAGGTTCATGCCATGGAACGCCGATTCTGGGCCCGGGAAACAAGCACAGACTGGTGGGATTGCATAGTGTTGCAGGTCTGGGATGAATCCCAGTGGCTGCGAAACTTTCACATGCGTAAGGGCACTTTCATGGAACTTTGTGACTTGCTTTCCCCTGCCCTGAAGTGCAAGAATACCAAGATGGAAGCTTGCAACGCCAGACAGCTAAAGGTCAGTCGGGAATCAATTTGGAGTGGGTAAATCTACTGTGGGGGCTGCTGTGATCCAAGTAGCCAATGCAATCACTGAGCTGCTGCTATCCAGGGTAGTAACTCTGGGAAATGTGCAGGCCATAGTGGATGGCTTTGCTGCAATGGGATTCCCTAACTGTGGTGGGGCGATAGACGGAACACACATCCCTATCTTGGGACTGAAGCACCAGGGCAGCCAGTACATTTCAATGGTGCTGCAAGCACTGGTGGATCGCACGGGATGTTTCACCAACATCAACGTGGGATGGCCAGGAAAGGTACATGACGCTCGCATCTTCAGGAACTTTGGTCTGTCTGAATGGTTGCAGGAAGGGACTTACTTTCCAGACCAGAAAATAACCGTTGGGGATGTTGAAATGCCTATAGTTATCCTTGGGGACCCAGCCTACCCCTTAATACCATAGCTCACCAAGCCATACACAGGCACCCTGGACAATAGTCAGGAGCTGTTCAGCTATAGGCTGAGCAAGTGCAGAATGGTGATAGAATGTGCATTTGGATGTTTAAAAGTGCGGTGGCGCAGTTTACTGACTCGGTTAGACCTCAGCAAAACCAATATTCCCATAGTTATTACTGCTTGCTGTGTGCTCCACAATAACTGTGAGACTAAGGGGAGACGTTTATGGCAGGGTGGGAGGTTGAGGCAAATAGCCTGGCTGTTGATTACACACACAGCCAGACACCAGCGTGGTTAGAAGAGCACAGCAGGGCACTCTGCGCATCAGAGAAGCTTTGAAAACCAGTTTCATGACTGGCCAGGCTACGGTGTGACAGTTCTGTTTGTTTCTCCTTGATGAAAACCCACCCCCTTGGTTCACTCTACTTCCCTGTAAGCCAACTGCCCTCCCGCCTTCGATCGCCACTCGCAGAGGCAATAAAGTCATTATTGTTTCAAAATCATGCATTCTTTAGTAATTCATCACACAAATAGGGGGATCACTGCCAAGGTAGCCTGGGAGGGGTGGGG